AATCATTTTATTGAAAAGTATAAAATTAATAATTAATATTTTCAAATTTTATATAGTCTTAATTTCTTCTTAAAATAAAATTAATTACATGAAATATTCACTTCAATAAACAAGACGTTTTGATATGATTATATAGAATCATTAATTATGAATAATTAATTGATAATTAAATGATAATTAATTGCTGATTCTACGAGAGATTAACTTCTCTCTCTCTCTCGCTCTCTGTCTCTTCTATTAAGGGATTCCGTCCGCAATTAGGACGCAAATCACGGGATTCAAGATGGAAATTAATATATTATCTCAATTTTCTTGAAATGTGTGTTTCTCATTTACCATATGGAGGAATAAATGTTTACCTTAAAAATTTCTCTTATATAGCGGAATAGTCTGATCGGGGAGTTAAACCCTCGGAATCTCTTGCTCTATCACTAACATATAAGCTGCAGTCCAGCATCTTTTGAAAGGATAATAACACGATGATACCTGGAACGCGGCGAAAGCCGCTACGGCTTGAACTTCGCAAATGGCAGCACCATGACCTTGTGGTAAAGAACAGACCGCTATACGCTGTGGAAAGGCGCCAAGGCCATACACCAGCTGATTTGTTATTATCACGAAATATTTGCCGTGCTGTGTATAATAAATACATGTGTATTGAATACATTTGTTTTTTTATCAATTTCGATGAATAGCCGATTGTCAATATTTACAAATCTAACAGATTTATTTGAAAAATACATTATTTTACTTTATTTTTAGTTCGAGAAAGTATTTAAATAATTTAAAAAAAAAATTAATTAATTTGTTTTTACCAATTTATGCCAAATTTTTACATGAGAATATAATGTTCTAATAAAAACAATTTATTCCTATAACTTTTTTAAAATTAATAAAAGAAATCAAATTTATTTGTTATAAAAAAAATATAGCGATTAATTTTTTAAAATATATTAGTTAAAGTCATGCAATTTTTTTCGGTTCGCGAAACAAGTATAGATTTGAAAGTTGATATTGATATAACAATAAATATAATTTTTTATTTTTTTCATTACGTAACAAAGGTAAAATTTATTTTGCAAGTAAAACTAATTCGTAATTGTAACTATAGCGATGAATCGGTAGAATTCATTTATTAAAGTGTTGCGGACGATTTTGTGTGACGGCACCGTGGCGAATGTAAAGCAAAATACGAGATCACGCTATAACGCATCGTCACCATAACTCATTGTTTTTACATAAGCCCTGTTCGACATCTTAATTAAGAGTGCGGACACATGACGAATGTGTTCGGTGAAAATTACTCGAATCGAAAGCATAAAGCAATTCCTTGTGTGTCCATATCGACGAGGAAAACACGCAATCAAGGACGGTGATTTTTGATAACGTAACAGATGTCTCTAAAGCATTATGAGAAAAGAAAGCGAAAGGAATAATCCATTTTCATTTGTTCCTTCAACGGAAGACTATACGGAAATTGCTGATGTATCAGCGTTCGAAGCTGCGCTCCGAATGCTTTCAATCATGATTAATTGCTTATTGCAATAATTAACTGCTAACTGCAATAACGCTGTCATTGGCTTAATAAGAGAATATATTGAGTCACAAAAAAAAAGAAGAAAATCTAAAGGCAACATATGAATTCGCTTCACTGCACACACACACACACAAATTCTAATTACCATATTATTATCTCAACGCCACGCCAGCCGTCTAACGAATTGTTATTGCATATCGAGAGCTGTTATCTCATTTATCAAAAGCCTGAGCGATGAATTAAACTGCTCGCTATATTTGCAATTCATATTAGCATACGTCATCTGCCGTCGACGACCGGTCATTCTCGACCGGGTTTTCCATATTCGCGAGGGATATTCAGCTGGGCACTGATCTAGGTTCTTAGATCGCGCTCGCGCTCGTAGGAATTAATTCAGAAATGGTTCCCCGGCGATGACGTCGATGCGACTCCACTTGCTGTCAGCCGGCGAAGGTATCTAAGCCCGCAAGAAGTGCCGCTATGTCCCACATAAGAGCCGAGGCGGCGGAGGATGATTCTGGGACAGCCGACCGGCGCGTTCGGTTATTACGTACCTTCCGGGTCCGGCTTGCAATTGCTTTTTTTTCGGCTCTTAAACGTGATTCCTTCAGAATATTACAGTATCTTTATTTATGAAGAGAAGAAAATGTATGAACTTTGTACGCGAAAATGGCTTCTGCCTGATGAGTCACGTTGGCAATTTGAGAAATTTTTTAAATCGACCGATTTTGAAAATTGATGTGCTATCTGCGATTAATAAAATTGCTAAAATAATTTTCTCATTTCTTATTTTAGTAGGTCAATCTAACTTAATTTTCTTCTTTGTTTGGAATGAATATTTTATATTACCTGCGCGCACGAGAGAATGATAAGCAGAATCGCGAAGCGTTCAATGGACATTTTTCTATTAAAATTACTTTCGGAACTATAATCATACGTGTATACGTTGGAGAAGTAAGTGAAAAAAATGAAGAGATTTACGAGCGGCTCTTTTGCTACTAAATGCCATGACTTGTCCTTTCTCTGCTTATTATTCCACTTCAAGAGCGCAGATGGTGGTTGAACCACTTAACTCGTAATTCAGCATATCCTTACTGACTGAGATAACGTGTCCGCATTTTATTTTTGCCGTTGTTGCCGAAGAAAAAGCCTGTTCGCGATTATACGAGTGTGCCGCGAGTGTTACGTGAACTTTTTTGTAAATAGTTACCACTACGGAACGATCTCAGAGTCACGTCCGCGTGGCAGGACGGAAGCAAACGTTTTTCCGCGATCATCGGGAATCGCCTGATTATGCGTTACGACGCGACAAGTGGATCACTGGTACGCACTGGAAACGGAGCGCCATTAGGATAAATCCGCGGCGTCTTTGCCGACCGGAAGATATTTCCTTGCGAACCTCGTCGCGATTCTTTTCCCAATCTTTTCTCACTTACGGGTCCCGAGTCGAGGGATAATCGCGTCCCGTTCTTCGGCTTCGCCGTCTGTCGTCCGGAGACACTCCGCGCTTCCCTCTCCCCGACGATCGACACCCGCTCGCATTCCGCGACGCGACGTTCAGGAAAAACTACTTCCTGAATTAACCGTCAGTTAGCATCACGCATCGCCTCATCACTGATAGCGCGAACCCTTCATCATGCTGTCAGAATGTGTGCAGGATGTAAAAGATGAACTGGAACAAAGTTGCTCGGCATTATTAACTAACAGTAATTTTTACCTGACTATTTATCCAATTCAAATTCTGCACAAACTTTTACGAGGCAATTATTTAAACATTTTTTTATGATTTAAATAACTGTGATAAAAAGAAGAAATTTCTTTTTAGATACGCGAGAAGCGAAGCTTCTTTATTTCTCATATGTACCGATATTTTTAATATTAATTAAATTATTATATTATTAAAATTTCCTACTCACTTATTTTTATGTGAAAGCACAATACTAAAAAGATCGAGACATTTTCGAAAATAATTGAATTTATACATATATTTTATGTCTCATATATTTATAAAAATCCGAAATAAACATAATTCTCTCTCAATTTAAAAATCTTAATCTTAGTTCCTGTTTTGATTATACCGGAAATGTCAACGAATAGGGTAACTGTCCCTATTAATGTGCCCTGAACCTATTAGTGTGCTTTTATATTTAAATAAGTCATAAAAGTAAACTGGTACAAATATATAGACAAAGTATATTTTTTTATTAAGTTAAAGTATTAACTTTATAGAAAAAAATACTTTGTCTATTTATTTGTACCAGTTTATTTTTATTTATGACTTATTTAAATATAAAAGCACACTAATAGGTACAGGGCACACTAATAGGGACAGTTACCTTATTTTTCAAAACAAATATGAACGCATTCCGCCGTTGTGCATCAATTCTATCTGGAGCATTGCGACATTTATTGCACCGTAATAACGAAGTGAATATTATAACTTTCACAGGTGCGCATAGATGCTGATACTGATATCAGCATCCATACTCGTGAAAGTTCGGCTATTCACTTTTCTTCCTGATCTGACACGAATGTTGACTTCCTGATCTACTCCGATATCAGCATTCCGCCCATAATTACGTTTATGCTCGATTATTTAAATCAGTTCGTCCTCTACTCATTGACTTCGTGATTTGCTGAAAGTGTTCTCTCCAGAATCACGAGCCTACATTCGAAACACTACATTGTTCACAGTCTCTATTTTATGCAAATGGGATTCTAAAATTTCGTTTTTCAAATTACGTGCGCATTACGTAATCATCATACATAACTGTTATTACGTAATAGCTATTTATAGAGAATATAACTCAATATCATTCTATATTCGTGTCATTTTGGATTAATTAAAATGATGATTAGTCAAGTAAATGCTAAAAATGTGATATTGTGAATTTATGAAGTATATAAAAATGCTAAAAATGTGTTTTGCAAAATTCAACACGATTGATTTTTTGTGATCTCCAAAATGCTTCTTCTCAAAATGTGCTCCGGTTCAATTTTTTTTCAGGGAATAAATTTAAACTCGAATTTAAACTCGTGCCCTTCCGTCCCTCTTGCCTCATCCCCTCCCCTCCGGATACGGAACCGCTCGAAGACATTCGAGAGATACCGTATCGCCGTATGCACCGTACGTCAAGTTCACCCACTTCGCGCATCGATCGTCGTCGTCGGCGGCAGCGGAAAAGAGCCTCTCGCTCGCGCTTAGCATACACGCGTTGTATCTGGCAATAACGACGACGGGCGAAGGTTGTTCAACTCGGGCGGATCTCGTAGCACCGTCGGGTATAACGGGTCCTAAGGCCCGCGCACGCCGGCCAGGCGCGCTCCACCTTCGTTCGACTTGCCGCCTCACGGCTAGGCGAGCGCGCGTGCACCGTACCCTCTTCCTCGGCCCCGCTTACGAACCTTCTCCAACCTTCTCCAACCTGGGTACGCGAGTACGACTTGTCGGGCAGCCAGTCAGCCGTGCACCATTGTCGAAAGATCGTCCGGGTAGTCGACACGCGTCTTCCGATACTCTTCTTCGCTTCAGTCCGGTCTCGCTTCGTCCGGATCTCGCGACACGTCGCAATCGCCTCCTTTCTTTCTCCCCGAATCGCGAATTTTCGAATATCCCGTGGTACCCGATTGGATTCCGGAGTTGATTCTAAGCGTTCGAGGCTCTTTTTGGTGGTATTTCTTCTTTTCTTTCCGAATAGGTGATCGTCGAAGAACGCGGATTCGGGCGGGTTCGCACCGTAAAGCCGTTTCACGTATTTTCGCGATCGTGCGCTCCGCGAGATCGTCGGGTGTGTGTAGCGAACGCGTTTGAAGTGATTCGATGTTCCATCAAATTAATTGACATATAGGTAAGACCTCGATAATTTATGATTAATTTTATAGCACATTTAATTTATTGAATTATGCGAATTTGTTAAAACCTTTGCTTTTAGTGTTGATTTTTTAATGATAAGTATTTTAATTATTCTATTATATAAAAATTGGCTTGTTTTTCTTCTTAGAAAAATCTAAATAAAGATATACAGCCACCGCGAATAAAAATGTAATACAGTATTTAAAATTCGCAATATTTGTCTTCCTCTTTAATAAATGATGTGGAAATGCTGTAGAAATAGTTTTGATTTATACTATTTGTAATTCTCTTCGAAATATGGATTATTAATTAAATTTTGTCTGCATTTGCCGACTCATTGATTTATAATATTCTTTCTTTTAAAAAAATTGTAGCTGCCTTTTGACTGTCTGATGAGTATTATCTATATTAAATGCGATATTACATTATAAAAATTTTAATATTATATAAAAAAAACAGGCATAAAAATAACGGAATTTATTCAAAATAATTAATAATCAATTTCCGCATTTATAATTATATAACGGTTGAGAATTTGAATAAATGCGCCAAGATATCTTGTTGAGAAATGTAAATGAGAGATTTTATAACGAGGTTAAAATACAAAAAAAACAAGAAGAAGCATTGCAGGCCCAGGTTCAAGATATGGTACCGCTGATCAATTACTCTTGTATCTATTTCATTGCGCTGTAACTTGTAGTCACTTCCTCGTGAAGAGCTCGCTGCTCTTCTTCCTGTTTCTCTTTTTTTGCATCATTACGTTACGTTACACTTGTTGAATCGTGTTGCACGCCTTACTATATTGTCTCATTAGATGATTAAAGATAATAAGAGCACTTTTGGAGTTATATGCCACGCTCCAAAAGTGATCTGAAAATGAATGCACAGGTTATTTTAATATGCTAGGTGACCTATTTCCACTAAATCGAGCATTGATTGTTAAAGGCTGGACCTTTAATAAATATTTTATTTTGTTAAAAATTTTGAACTTTTGAGATCTCTTTAATATTAAAATTTTGCTAATAACAAATTAAAATTTTCATAAATTTAAAATAATTAAATTAATATGTTTGTTTATATATATTTACGTGTACAAAAGTTTAATTAGCTTAACAAAATTTTTGTTATTCTATCATAATTTGAAATATCGATATGAAAAATTTTTATAAATTTACTTTGACATTTCCAACAAGGGTTGGAGGGAGGATATGTGACTTTCGGCAAAATATTCTGTTTGAAAAAAAATTTTTATTAAAATTCCGGCAAAAGTCAAACTCATATATATAACAAAAAAATAGTTGTTACATTTCTCTTATACGTGAATACTTTCAATTTTTGTTCGTAGCCTTCTCTTTCTCTCTCTCTCTCTCCCTCTCCCTCTGTGTCATTAAATTATTTAGTTTTTCATGTTTCAGTGGAACTATTTTTCATAATGAAAGCTTCATGCGGATGAAAAGTTAGCTGTTGCATCTTTTGTGATAACGAAGTAGCAAGCATTATCGTTATTAATGTGGGTTAAGTTAAAGATCGATAAGAGTTTTGCGTGAAAAACGTCTATTGCGCGAAATGGTCACGGTGGAGGCGTATCCGATTTCCATAACGCAACCGCTTATCTCTACCCCTTCTGAATAAGATCCGATCTGGTCGCGTTGAAATTAATGCGATTTACTGACCCGAATGATCGAGTAGACGCGCTCTCGGCCGATCGTTCTGCCATTCTTCATGCCTTGTCTCGTCTCGTTTCTTATCCGCCGCAATCTAATTCTAACCGGCGGTGGATGTTCGGCGCTCGTCAGAGCGCAAATCTGTTTGTTAAATAGCGTATCTTTATTGCGCACGATCTTTTCCGCTGGCGTTCAGCGTTCCGGAAACAGGGATCTCGTTTTTATAGCGATCTCGGAATATTACGAATAATCTTTGACGATTCCCTCTATCAGACCGACTCGGCTTGAAGGTCGATACATTTCGAACTGTTCCAGTTTTTTTTTTCATTTGAATATCTCCTATTACTCCTATTAGCTTTTATGGAAATAATATTTTACTGATACATTTAATAGAACAAGATATTGTATTATCGGTTCTCTTTTTATTTATTGTGATTTGTTAAGTATTACCTGTATATTAAACTTCGCTCGTTATTGAGTGAATTGAATTAGGTACGGGGAGGGGGCACAATTCCCCGTAAATGCATTTGCGTCTATTTACGCTAGAATGTTACGGAAAATTGCTACCGTGCTTGCCACCAAAAATAGTCAGTGCGTAAATAAAAAGAGCATGAATAATAATAACAATTATTGTTGCGTACAACGGTTCTGTTCATTAGAAAATTAAAACTATCGACTCAATTTAAATAATTATACCCAAATTGAAATTCTTGTTCTTGAAACGCTAATTATTATATATTAAATTAAAGCGTTCACATACTACACGCTATAATAAAGTTATTATAACCATAAGAAGTGATAATCTCTCGTTATTTTAAACTTTGTTTTTTTCTATTAATAATTTTTAATAATACATTTTCGCATGCAAACCCTCTGAGAAGTTTATGGTGTTTGAAAATTAAACCTTAATTTTTGCGACACGCTTGAAATTCCAATGTTTATATTTAACAAAGAAATTAATGCACTTGAATATATTGCCCAATTAATACCTATATTACTCTCATCCGGCACTTCCGTTCAGAATTATAAATCTCTTCACAAGATTGTTTGCGGCTCAACAGAAATCGCCCGCGAGCGGTTTTCTGGTTCGTGAAGAAACATTCAAATGGTTAACGGTACGTGCCCCGCTCGTAGAATTCACGCGTCGGATTCTACCGGCTATTCTACCGATGGAATAATGTCTTGTCGGACTTCTCGTACACCACGACCGCTCACGTTTCCCCGAGATACACGACGCGGCGTCACATACGGTGGACGCCCGAAGAAGATCGACGCCCGTTCGGTACCGTTAGCGGACACGTATATAAAAATGGAAAAAATGCAACGGTAAAAAAACATCCGCGTGACAATCACTCGCGATCGTTCGGAGAATTCCATCCACGGGAGATGTTAATGTAGGGTTTACGGCGCATTGGATCCTCCGAGGCCGAGGTTGAGAGCCTTCGTTGAAACCTTCGGCGGAGATTTCAACGCCGGAGGAAGAACTTTACGTTTATTTATGATCAGCCCTCCCCCGCCGTTGCACGCCCGCAGCTACTATACAACATTATACTAGGCAACATTTAATTATTAAAATATCATCTGCACGATGTGTAGTTTCCGAATTTGATTTATATTTATTTATCGATATTTTATTTATAAATATTCAATCGATATCTGTCGATTACGATTTATATATTTAGGGAGCGATTATTTCGATTTTTTATTCGAGTTTCAAGGTTCTTAAAAAATGTTATATTATCTGCGTTGCAGACGTCACCGGACGAAATTTCACGAAATTTTATTGCGTAGATGAATGTCTAACTTACGTCAATGGTAAAGTAATGTTATTGTTCGCATTCCGCGTGCATAGACGATTGGAACAATCGGAAATGAGCGTCGAATACGAACGATACTTTCAATCGAGACCTTAGTTGACAAATCGGTGATCAGAAATTCATGCCGTGCAGTCTATGTAAACTCGCCAGAGGCAACTGTCTCGACAATTGCGTCATTGGTAACCAAACTAACGATTGGATGCATTTTTCAATTGTGTCCGATGTAGTTGTAAAACTCTTGATATTCGGGTAAGGGAGATTATATCTATACCGTAAATTGAAAATTCATATACAAATTATACTAAAAAAATTAATTCAAATCCGTCTTTATCATTTATCGTTTTTGACGTTGTTTAATATTTAAATTTAATATCCGGAGTCTTACGTATATGCAAATAATTTAGCATTTGTTATATCACCGTTTATATTTACAATTCCAGAAATTGTAAAACAGCAAGAAATAAATTATCAAAAAATGGAGAGTAAAAGAATCAAATTATTTCTATTTTGTTTAATATTATTCTACAATAAATTAAAGAATAACGTTTGGGGTTAACTACTGTATCGGTCTCACAGACCGCTATTGAAACGTTACTTGTCAACAATTTTCTTATTTATCACCATTTAAATATATTTTATTTCTATTGTATACGAGATTTTTTTGTTAACCCTCACATTAAAATACAGTTTTCCTTTTTCCCATCACAAATATTCAGAAAACATACATTTTTATTATAATTAACTTATAAAATTAGCGAGAGCATAATAGCGGTCTGTCAGATGTAAGAGCGGTCTGATCGATATTGTGATTTTTTTGGGCGTGGTGATTTAAAAATTAATATTTCTTCGCATTTTATACAATCCGACACATTGTGTTGGATTATCGTAAGAACAACTGTTGAAACATATAAGTACATAGTGCAGATATCAAATCCTTGCAATATAACTTGATGCGTACCCGTCCTCATGAATATTAATGCAAGCGTCGCGTCTTTTGTCGGTCGTAAAATTAAAACCTTCGACTTCCGCGCGCTTGCTCCACCACTTCCGACCATCCATTCTTTCCTCGCGTACGAGCCGTGCAATCGCGATCACGCAAGATCGTTTTTTTGCGACCGGTGCACTGTGCTCTCTTCCTGTTGACTGGTTTCTTCGATGACATAGTGCAACGAGAGATCTATCTATCCGAGATCTAGATTGTTGCTCAAGATCAGGTTCAGCGTTTGAGTGTAGGTCATCGTGTCGAGGACACGAGACAGCCTCTAGCCTCGCGTATCGATTCGCGGGATCGTCCCGCTGTCTCTTTACAATTCGTCGCGCATCATCCCCAGTAATGTCACAGAATTTGTAAACGAGTTGAACAAAATTTTCTCTCTCCGTGGTCTTTCATTTAGATCCTATTTGTAAAATAATTTTCCTCGTTTTTTGTTTCAGTGCGAAAATGCGGATGCAGCTGCTGAAGATCGTGGTGGTCCTGCTGGTAGCAGGATCGGGTGATACCAGGCCACAGAATGGTGGGTATATTCTACAAGAAATCATGATGACGATAATATTATAATAATATATGTATAATATTTCGAGTTACGACCCGATCGGGAAATGAACGGTGCAATAAAATGATCATTAAGCAACAAAACCGTGCAACGTGACGAGCTTGGCAGCAGGAAACGGTGTTTTCTAAACGCAAAATTGATGCTTTCTTCGCGGTGCAATCGTAGCCAATGAACCGTGCTTATTCAATTGCAGATCTGTTATCTCTTAATGTATCTTAATTACGACAGCCAGAGAATGTTTAAATAGTGATTAGGTATAAGTAGGTACGATAGTCCGCCGACTTGCGTTTTACTCGCGCTGCAGATTTGTATTTGTGACAATAATTCTCAACTGCATTTCTCTCTTTCTATGTATGGTAACGACTAACGAGTTATTCATTTCTTCTTCAAAAGGATTGAATTTGCGTTCAATGTTCCAATTATGGAGAAAACGCGTACGAGGCATCAATCGCGTAATTACTCAATAGCATCAATTGTGGTAGCGTGCCGGATAACAGCTTGTTGTCTTCGTGAAGCCATAATTACGCCACTACTTCTCGTGCGCTAACGTTACCACCCGCGTTTTTTCTTCTTGCAAAATCGAATTTCCTAAGACGGAAGTGTTTTAACTTGGCAGTCGCACGAATTTAAGGCATTGCGAGAAACGCGACGGGATTCCGCGATTCCGCGCGTGTTTCGCTATTAGCGCATCATCGCCAAGCTTTATCGACGTTGCACGTGTTGACTGGTTTTGTTAGAATCCTTCTCTAAAGTCGAAAATAAAAATTCATTTTTCAAAATCGTTTCTTACTTTTCAGGCGCAGATTCGCAAGCGAAGACGATAGAAAGGAACGACGCGGGATGGAGAGGCATCCAAGTCTCGAGCAAGTCACACGACATTGTTCGAGACGATAGCAGGTATACAGGGACTTCCGGAAGTAATAGAAAGTCGCATATCACACATTTCCGCGATAGTTCCGATTCGTCGCGCGAGCATAACGCATTCGGTTTACGCGCGAGCGACTTCGCCCCGAACGCGACGGCGCGATCGCTTAGCGCTCGTCGTTCCAAGATCGACGGTATCTGGACGATACCTGAATTCAGAGCGATAAACGCTCCTCCACATTTTTCAAGGACGGATGTGTTAGGTAGTATCGCGAAAGTCACTACTGCTCAAAGTTCGAATAAGGTAGACAGACCATTGTTTCACTCTTCTTCTGGCAATTCTAAATTAAATCACAATGAAAGGATAGATTGGACAAGTTTTAGACCCGATTTAAATATCGGTCGAACAGATTATTTCGGAAAAACAAATACTGGAAATTTAGAGAGATCGAAATCTGGTGTGACTTCGAATGAAAATCTCGAATCGCTAATCGCTCGGACGAGGTACTCATACTCAGCAGGAAATGGCGTCTTGACAACTCACGCATCTGGTTTCGAGAGGACAAATGACGATATCTCTGTTGTAGAAAATCATCGGAAGTCGAGTTCGGTTAGGTCCGACTCATTCGTGAACAAGGGTATCGGAGGCGAGACGTCACGTTGGAAGTTGGTGCACGGTGTAAATAGATTGTCTTCGCAATTAGCGAGGACAAATGTACCGAGCGAATCTCAGGCAGATGCCGTTACTCTGTCTACGCATAAAGATCGCAATTCAATTCGTAAAACTACAGACTCGATTGTGATTTCTCTTGGAAACTCGAAGCCGGGTGTCGTCACTGGTTCCTCTCGTCGCATCGGCGGCAACCAGCGCGACGTCTTGAATAATTCAAGAAACTCGGCGCACGGCGCGGAGACGGCCTTGATGCCGAATTCGAAATCCGAAGTCGTTGGTCACAGTCGACCCTCTGCAGTCCCCCACAGGAACGCAGTTACGTCCCACAGAAACTTTGTCAAGCTTCGGTATCCATACTCGACTGCGAATCGGCGAAATGCCAGCAACGTCGCGTCGAATGCGAAACTGAAGAATGGCAACGGCGTTGGCTCTACCGGCATTCAAGTGAGACCGCCAGCAAAGGGCCACTTCACGCGAACAGCTGCGAGGAAGCCTGTCGGCTCGAACAATCACGCGACGTCCAAGCCGATGAAGAGCGGTCATTCCTCGTCCGTCCAGAAGTCGCCGAGTCAGGAAGTTGGTGGTGGGAATAAAACGAGAGACGAGCACGGAGATACTACCGTGAAATATAACGCGTACTTGAAGAACTGGCCGAATGACGCACTTCAGGACATCGAGGATCTATATAATTACGACAGATACACTTCGTCTCTGGAGGAGGAATCCAGTCTTGAGTCAGGTCTCTCCGAAGAGACGCCGATCCTGTCGTCGAACAACTATTTCGATCACACGGATCCGATCCTCGACTCCAGCGTGAAGAAGATCATCCACTGGTTGAAGGTACCGGCGGTCGTTCCGAACAGCACGCAATATTTCCATTATAATGACGACAAACCGATCGAGCCGGTCTTCGAATCGATCTACGAAAACTTGGAGCCGAATCGTCCGTTGAACATCAGCACTTACGACGACAATTACGAGACCGTCGTTCTTCAGGATGTACCGTCGAATCAGGATCTCGATAAAATAGACGCGAATTATCCAATCCAATGGTCAAATCCGAATACAATCGCCCGTCCCCAATACGATCCTTCCGCTGCCTTGATTCCTTCTTCCTGGTCTGAAGTGGCGTCGCTGCGAAACAAAACCGTTTTCAATCCTCTGACACACGTGACGCAGAACACGGTGGTTCATATCCTGAACGACGGCCTGAAGAAGCCGAATGTTACCGTGACGCAATTGAAAGCGCCGGAAACAGACACGGTAGTCGCCGATCAAGCGGCTTCCTCAGGATCCTCCTCGGAGTCCTTGGAACTGGCACAGAGGCCCAATGTTCATATAATGTTCACTTCTCAGAAGGACAAGGATAAGGAGCCTTCCACGCAGAAGATCGATAATTTCCCTACCCCGTCGACCCAGAGCACAAACTGCCCGACGATTATGATAAATACTTATACTCGAGTGAACAATACGATTCAAAGCAAGGAAGGGTGCACCGATCTGAACATAATCGTCAACTCGCACGTCTCGAACACGAACGTGTTCACGCCGAGCGGCGCACCGGCGATCGCGGAGGAGCAGCAGACCTCATTAGCGACGCAGAGCTACGGTAACGTAGACGAGAGCGAGAAGTACACTGATGCGTTCACCGATCTCTTCCACGAGGATTCTTTGAACAGTTACGTAACCGCGTCGACAGGGACGTATAGTCCGCTCGAAACGCTGCAGCCGGGTCAACATGACTATTACGATTCCCAGAAAGATCCCAGTGAGACCCCGGATCCCGTTCAATCCTCGGGACTGTCGACCATCGAGTTGTTCCAGAGCACTCAGATCAGCATGTCCGGCACGAGCGTTCCGGAGGCGGAAGCAACGGCGAGCCCCGTCGGATCGTCCGTCGACGGTCCCGCCGTTGGCACCGGCAATGACGCGTCGAGTTCCGCGATCGTTCCACCAGCTGCCGGCGCTTCCGCCGGCAGTCTCGGTTCCGAAAACCCGTCTGTGTCCGACTTGCCGGTGTACCTGGTCAAACCCGGCCCGGTGAAAGGTCAGTCCAACAACGCGTTAGTGCCGGGTTCCTTGCAACTGCCGGCATTGCCGAGTCTTCCGAGTCGGCCTATTGTCTCCGGTCTAGCGAGCATTGCTGCTAGCCCGTCCTTGTCGCCGGCTTCAGGCGCCTCGGGATCGTTGCCCGACGGCGACGACGATGATGACGATGATTTCGATATATCGCCAGGCGGCGTATTGCAGTACATAACTACGGCTTTCACGTACTTTTCCTTCTTAAATCCGTTGAGCTATGGCATCTTCAGCGTCACCGCGGCACCGTTCGTCGCGATGGCGGCCGGGGTGCTCGGCGTAGCCGCGGTCATGTTCCCGTGGGCGCTACCGGGCGTCCTCGACTTCGGGCGTTCCGCCGACAAGACAGTCGGTTTCACGCCGAATCTCGAGGAATTCGTCAGACGAGCCGTGCACAAGTACGATCGTCTGAACGAGTGGAAGAGTAGACGTAGGAAGCGGAGAAGATGAATCGAACTCAGATTGATCTTGTGACGCTTAGTGTTCTTCAGATAAGTAGGAGAGCCACAGTATAAAGCTTGTATGAAGCAAGTACGCTCCTGCTTTTAGAGTTACTTGTACTTAAATTGGATAGAATTTACAAGATATACCGTAGTAATCGTTCGGTACTGGAAATGTACTTGAAAATGATGCGTGGTTAGTAGAAAAAGCAAAGAGAGAAGGTAGCTAGATGATTATGTTTGTTTTAAAGCATTATGTGGTTACACTAATGTAACACGTATAATGATAATGCAGGTAATTGTATGATATTTTCGTTCATTAAGGATGAAGTTTATTCATCTGAGTAGGTAAAATCATAACTAAATACATATAATGATTAATAGTTTTCACATCCGTCCTTCATAAATATAATTTATGTAAAATAATTAAGATGATTAACGAAGATAAATATACCGTAAAATCATATATTTTTTATTTAATATTTAATAGCCTTATTTTTACGCCAAATGTAGTGTAGTCAGAAAATATTCGCTATTTACATAATTACATGGATTGGACGATAATTAGTGTAATCATTAACTTAATATTTTGTTACGTTATTATTAATAATTATTAATCCACTTATTTATGCTACTATTTACGTTATTGTCGTTTATGTGTAGAATAATGAGAGTAATGCGTTCTATCTTTTATCGTATCATATAAATTCTTTATGTAAAAAGATGCTTTGATTATAATATTTAATATTATTTCTTTGTAATATTATCTCTTTTTAAATTTTTCGTAAATAAGCAAAGATATTTAGTTTACAATTTTACTTAATTGGCAGGTGTAACATTAATTAATTTTTATTATTTAAAGAAATTTATGAAGATTCCAAAAATATAATTTGCTAATTATATATTGATTCGAAATAAAATTACGTGACAGATTATCGCAAAGCATTATGTCGAGTTCAACATAGAACTGCAAAGGATGATTATCGTTTTTTGTTGTATTGGTATTTTAATTTAATCAAATTTTACAGCATTTCAGAGTATTAGCAGTATTTGTGCCAATAAACATGTAATATTAATAAAACATTCAAAACAAAGAAAAGTTAATATTTTATTGGGCAATTATATAATTTTTTCTTACGCCTTCTCGTGTATGTTGTGTAAAAAATATACAATCCTATCTTTGAACCTATACTATCCCTCTTCTAAATCCTATTCTAATATTGCCGCAAAAAATAATTGTAAGAAAAAGAAAATTTATTTATAAAGACAGAATTAAAATTTAATATGTTTAAAATTTTATTATTATTAAATTAATACTTATGATTTTAAATTATGGAAGAATTATGTTAGATAATTACGCTTACATTTTATTATTGATTTTAATTTCTTAAGCGAATCGAAAACCAAAGTAACATTTACTTTATTAAAATTTTACATCTGTTTTTCAGTCTTTATGACCATGATTTTAAAAAATTAAATTTTTATTTAAATACATATAATATAAAATTGAGGATAAACTGAAAATATTCTACTTATTTATTATTTTTTCTTCTAAAACTCGATAAGTGAAAATTTCTCATTGATTGCTTAATTAAAACAGTTACTTAAAAACTATTAATGCTTCTGTTAAAAAAAACAACTTGAAATTTATAATTGAGTTAAAAGAATTTCAATTTAGGTTAATCATATTTATTATATTCTACAATATATATTATAGGCTTAATATTATTTCAAATTGTTTTATTGCACTTTTCGGTGTTTTCTTATTTTACAATTAATTGTATTTATGTTGCTTAATAGTGATGTCAATCTTTTACTGTGCATTAAGTATTAATATTGCACAGAAAAGGTAAGGATGTTCAATAGTCCCTTAGGCATTTTTGCTAAATTTTTAATTTTTAGTCATATGTATAAAAACATACACACACACACACATATGTATTCAGAAAAAAATATTTATAAAAATTATTCATAAGAGATGAGGAAGAGAGAGAGAGAGAGAGAGAGAGAGAGAGAGAGAGAGAGAGAGAGAGAGAGAGAGAGAGAGAGAGAATGTATATATATTGTCTATGTAATGATTGGCAAAAAAAAGACCAAAGACTTCTTAAAATTAAACAAGCTTATAATGTATGAGTATATGCACACTATGCTCACTACGTTTTTTTTTATTTTTTTATTATAAAATTACAAGCAAAATACATACCACTGAAATAATGAATTCCTCTAATTCATTTGTCCTAACATGAACAAATTGCGTCTAAAAAAAGCCGAAAAATTTCCTTTGTAAAAATATCACAATTCAATATTAAGTGTACGGTTAACATTTTAAATCTGATCAT